TTTTTTTTTTTAAGATTTTATGTATTTACTTGACAGAGAGAGAGAGATCACAAGTAGGCAGAGAGGCAGGCAGAGAGAGAGGGGGAAGCGGGCTCCCTGCTGTGAGCAGAAAGCCCAATGCGGGGCTGGATCCCAGGACCCTGGGATCATGACCTGAGCTGAAGGCAGAGGCTTTAACCCACCAAGCCACCCAGGCGTCCCCAGAGTGTGAATTCTTAACACTAAGCTAAAGTGCCTAGTAAGGCTGCAAGGGGAAAAATGTCAAACAATTTCTAGAACTGAGCCTGAGGCTTGGTTCAACATCTGAAAGAAACAAAAAAGGAGAGGCCAAAAAGACTAGAAAGCACCTAAGCAGAAAATTAGAAAAGTTTGGTGTCCCAGAAAACAAGCGAATAGAGTATATCAAAGAGGAAAGCTAAGAGATCAACACAGAAATAGACTAGGAATCGACCATTAGATTTGGCAAGGTGGAACTCACTAGGGACTTTGAAATAAAAACTTGATGGAATAAGTTATCATTATAATTCAAGTTGAACTGAGCAAGGAATACAACATCCAAAATGAGTTTCATGTATTAAAAAAATGTTTGCTGAATGTTTTGTTAGTCCATATGCTTGGGATATAGTTTTGAGCAAACCCAAAATCCCTGTCTTCATGGAGCTCACATTCTAACAACACATTTCAGCACTTCTTACAGGGAAAAGCTATGGCCAATATTCTTCCTCTTTGTATAAAATGTCACATTATATAAATCAGTGAATTTCTGACTCACCAATTCAGTTTATGAATAAAGCTAAAGGCAGTTAATTTTGAAGAAATACAAATGTATACAACGTTAGGTGATAAATTAAATCAAGTGACTTAGTAGGAATACTTTAATGTCACATACTCATTGATGGACAAAGTGAGGAGGAGTGTTAAATTTATTCTACACACCATATTCTATATACGTTACTAGTAAAAAAAAATTAACATGGGAGTCTACTGGAGTCTTTCCAAGTATTATTTGTTGGGAGTCTATGACAGGTCTCCTCAGGATAACCTCTCACATTTTCATATATAGATCATGAGGAGTGAATTGATCCAAACACTAGAACCCAACTTTAAAAGGTAAGATTTCCTGGAGCAAAAGAATATCCTTAGTCTTACTGTCCAGCAGGCTCAAGTGAGGCAGTCTCAAACAAACATTTATGGGATGAGACACCTACTATGTGGCAACTAATAAAATAATTACGGAGCATAATACAGGATATAACTATCTTTAATACTAAATAATTTGGTAAAGACAAAAAGTGTTACAGGAGTTTGGAAAAGGGCGAAGATTTCAGTGGGCTTAAAGAGTGGTTCTCAGGTGGGAGCTATTTTGTGCCCCAGGGGACATTTAGTAATGTCTGAAAACTTTCAAAATCATGGAGGGGCTGCAGAGCTCAGGCAGGCTGCTAAACGTCCTACCTTGCACAGGACAGACCTCCACAACAAAGATATTTATCTCGTCCAAACCATCAATAGTGTCACTATTGAGAAATCCTAGACTAATCAGGAAATGATTCAGTAACAGGCTGGACTGAGCTGGCTGGACTGAGCTGGCGTTTAATCATGAGCACATGTAGGCACATGTAGAAATGTAGAAGAAATAAGTTAGAAGTGAAAGTATAAAAGCTAAAGGAGCCTACGTTTGAACTGACTGGTCTAGGTAATGGGAAAGAGTTTGATACTAAGAAATTTATTTAAACCCAACAGAAATGTGTGTTTAAAAGTCAGTAGGATAAAAAAGTGAATGCAGTTGGAAACTAGATTATATACAGTCATGAAAACGAGATAAAAGTTCTGGAAACAGAAGTAGGTATTAAGAAATTGTTATATTTTGAGCATTTGCCCTAGAAATCATTGTAATGTTATGAAACTGCTTGACAGCAGCAATCATGCCTTATTCATCACTCTCTTATGTCACTTAGACAATGTCATGTAAATATGGATCTTTCTAGACTTATGATGGGATCAGGTCTCAACAAACCTATAGTAAGTTGAAAATATCCTAAGCCAAAAATGCATGTAATTCACCTAACCTACCAACAGCTTAGACAGCCTACCTTAAGTGTGCTCAGAAAACTTACTTTAGCCTATAGTCAGGCTATATCATCTAACGTAAAGCCCATTTTATATATTTCATATAATTTATTGCATATAGTCTGCATATGCAGAATGATCTAAGTATATTGGTAGTTTACCCTCGTGGTTGCGTGCCTGACTGTGAGCTGCAGGTGGGTGCCGCTGCCTAGCATCATGAGAGACGATCATACCGACCGCATATGGCTTTCCCGGGAAAAGATCCAAATTCAAAATGCAAAGTACAGTTTCTACTGAATGCATATCCCTTTCGCACCATACTAAAGTTGAAAAATCATTAAGTTGAACTATTGTGAGTTGGGGACCATCTGTACTGCGTGCTAGTTGCTTACTGAATTAAATGCAAGTTTCCAATTGTTTATGAAGTATTGTTGGCTATCTCTAAAGTTCCATCCACTGCTGATTCAGGCCAGGCATATAAACTGGAATCAAAAATAGCGATCATTTAGTAGGTGACTACTATATAAAGGCACTGTAGTGGGCCCTTTACACATATTATTTCATTGAACCACAAACATAATGTACTTTTCCACTCTGTAAAGATGAATACTCTGGGACTCAAAGAGCTTCAGTGACTTGTCCATGATTTCACTATGAGCTAGGCCGTGCCCAAGATGGGACTGAACCCTCTTCTACTCTTAACCCAAACCTCCATGCCTCAATGACATGCTCTAAGGAAGAGTTAAAAAGCAAAAATCAACACCTGCTATTTCTAATTAAATTACACAAAATAACAAAAAGCAATTCCCTAAGGACGCCCTTATATTTCTTTACCACAGTAATTAGTCATGGTATTTGGCTTGCTTTCATTCCATACTTGTGTGCCAAAGTAGTTCCTAAGTGCATTCAAATCACCTCAAAATTCTACTCCAGGAAACTCAAAGTCTTGTCATTATTATCCTCAGACCCCGGGGTGGGGGGGGGGGGGCTAACCTGTTGAACTGGTATACTCAATACCCAAAACCAATGATTCAGAAAACAGAAAAACAAACAAAAAAGGCATTTCGAAATCAAAATAAATCAGCATTTTCAGATTTAAGGTCCTTTTCCTCACTTCTTAAAGTACTGAGACATAGTCTAAAGAACGCAGCACAATGGTCCTGAATTCGGTTTCAGTTGTTGCCAAGTATCCCATTTGCATCTCTCCCAACGTTTTTGAGAGTCTATCCTTAGCCAGAAGCTCTCTCCTCCCGTTACAATTACAAAAAAAAAAAAAGAAAGAAAGAAAAAGGACGTTAAAATCCCCTAAGGAAGCTAACCTAAAACATTCTCCTAGGTCCAAACGTTTAAATTCATCCAGGGAAACACTTTATTGGAGGGCTTATAATCCTACCCTAGGTGACATACTGCTCAGCTCTCTCAACTCCCTTCTTCCAGAAGCAGTGTCCCAGCACCAGACGCTACACCAGCTGTTCCTCCAAGGCCCTCCACACCAACCCTCTAAAGCAATTCTTTCGAAACCCACAGTCCTACTCTAAGGCCCACTTTGCAGGCTCTCTGAGTCCCATTCCTTTTTTAAAAAAAGGATGAGCCAAGCCCCCAACCTCCTCCAAACTCTTCAGGAAGGAGCCTCGGGAAAAGGGAAGCATTCAGCCCCGGCCAGGGGGTCAGGAAGGCAGCAGAGAGCGGGCAGGGTGGGCTTGCACTCCGGCTCAGGCTGGACAGGGAGCGGCAAAAGCACTTACCAACATCTTGATCGAAGGGATTGGTGGCAAAAAGAGGCATCTCCGCTGCGTGCCCAGGGGTCCGCAGGGATTCCCCCTCGACACCACGGGAGTCAGGGAGCGACGGAGGAATGAAGGCCCCTCAGGCAAAAATAAGCAATACAGACGGACGCCCCAAGGCAGGCGACAGCCCCACCTCTCACCAACCCCCCAGCAACCGCGGCAGCGGCAGCGGCGGCAACAGCGAAGGCGCAGACAAGGCCCCCCGCGAGGAGCCTGTCGGGAATCTAGACGACCTCGGCACTGCCTGCTCAAAACCTCCCCGGCACCTGCCCCGCCAAAATAGGTCCCACTAAAGCGCCCTCTCTGCCTGACTCCCCTTCTGACCGGTCATACCGGAGGGTGGGATTAATGCCTGCGTTTTCTGCTTTTGCTTTGGCCAGGAGTCTCCGGAGGACGGGGTCCTCCAGGCGCGCCGAAGCCGACTACAGAGCCCGGGAGTGAATCAGAGACTAAGAAAAAGGGTCGCGTGAGGGTTGAATGAGACCTGGTGCTCGTCCCTCGCTCGGTGGGCTGTCAGAATTTTATAGTCTCTATTGAGAGGGGATGGAAACTCCTTTATTGGGGGGTCTTCTAAGTTAAAAAGCCGTGGGTTCAGTTGTTGGCTGGGATGACAGAAAACTTGTTTGGATGAAGTCATGTGAGCTGAACCGATTGGCCCGAATCCTTATAGCGGGGAGTGTCAGGGCGCGCGGCTCCCTCGGAGAGGCTGAGGTAACGCTGGCACCTTCCCGGGAGTCCCTGAACGCCTCTGGCTTCTGAATCTCTGTCGAAAGCACTTCTAGCTGGGCGTTGGCACTACTGACTAACTGTGCAGTCACTAAGCAGTTGCGATGTTTGGGAAAATAAGTTTCGCACCCCAAGAATGCCAACGAGAGCCCCCCGCCCCCGCAAGACCGAGCAAAAATACCAAAACAAAACTGCAAATGGAGCTAGAAACTGATGAGGGATTCCTAACAACTTAGAATGTTTATTTAGTGATTTTATATGTAAATATCTAACAAATTATGCCTACGTCATGTGGAATTTTTAAGGCGCACCTAGAGGTTCTGTGTCCCACTTGGAACAAAGTAAGAGCATCTTGCACATAAATTGGAATCATGTAAATTACACCTGAATTAGAGCACTTACAAATGTAGCATGTAAACAAATATTTACCACTTGTCAGCGACAGGATTAGTATACAAAGAGTGCTTACAGAAATCATTAAAAATGAAATCTCGTTTTTATGTAAATTAAAGTAGCATTCAGATACCTTTTTGTCCGACAGGGATTGAAATGAGATACGGAGAATCATATACTCACGTTGTTGAATGAAGTGTAAATAAGGTAGTCCCCCTGAAGGAAATATCTGAGAGTCTGTTACAAAAACTTTTAGAAACGTAAACACCTTTAGACCCAGCAGTTCTACTTTTTGGAATTTATCATAAAGACATTCTTTAAGAACATGAACAATGACATTCGTGGCAACGTTGTTTATAATATCACAGCATTGTTAGCCACTAAAATGTCCAATATTAAGAGTTGGTAGAAATTACTTCACTTCTTGGTTCCTCAATTTTTCATCTGTGAGAAACAAATAATAATAGGGTTGTGAGGATCAAATGGATAAATACAAACCAAACCCTTGAGGTTTTAAGCCCTAAATTTATAGTAAGCATCAAATAAGTGTAAGAAATCGTTATAATTAATATTGGTTATTATAATTAATCATTATAAGTCCTTATAAATTACTAAATTATAGTACACACAATGTAAAAACTCCACAGCTGTTAGAGGTGATTATATAGATCTGTATTTTTGTAGAAAGACATCTAAATACTAAGTTTTTAAAAGCAGGTAACAAAAACATGTAAAATTACAAAATACCCCTGATTTTAAAGTCTGAAAGGAAATACATGAAAATATTATGACGTTTATCTCTGAGTGGTAAAATTTGGGATGACTTTTTGTTCTTTATGCATTTTATATTTTCCAGATACTTGAATAATGAGCCTATGTTTATTTCAGAAGCATAGTTAAAACACAACAACGTAGAAAATGTGATATGTTAGTATCACCAATTCTTAACATTTTAAGGAGCCAATGCCAAAAGTTTGTTTGTGTTTCATTATGGCAGGTATAAAATCCTAAAACATCACTGTTGATATGAGAAGCAGAACATTCTCTCTCAAAAAATGATTCTTGATGACTGGCCTGACAGAATCAAGTGACAACTTGTCCATCTTAAGTTTTTGAGCAGTGTCTGGGGGCACATTATCATCAACCTGGATCAAAGCCAAATATTTATGAAAATGCATTTGAATATGATTTGTGCTTCAGTAAGGAAACTGAATTATTCTATTGCCAGCTGTAAGCCAGTGATCAAATTGTTTTAGCCTTGATCATCAATATGTAAAAACAATGAGAACAGTGAAGGAATTAGTCTTGGTAGCATTATCCATGTCTTTTAACCTAGAAGAATTACTTTAGCTATGTGGGGCCTTTATGGTTAATATACTATAATAATAATTTTTAAATGTAGAACTTTTAATATTATTGTTTAACATAAAAGCAAAATATGAGAAGTGAAATGGGTTTGTATTTTGAGGTTAAGTTTCTGTTATAATCTTTTAAAACACAAACTGTGGGAGTTGTACTTTTAAGATTACCAAAGTTTTTTTTTTTTACATTTTTATTTGTTTATTTGAGAGAGAGAATAAGAGAGAGCACAACAGCTGGGTGAGGGGCAGAGAGAGAAGCACACTCTCCCCAAGCAGGGAGCCCAATGTGGGCTTGATCAAGGGACTCCAGGATCATGACCTGAGACTGAGCCACCCAGGCACCCCTAAGATTACCAATGCTTTTAAACTGTAGAGACTATATGTCAGTTTCACAGTAAAACATTTCTATAATATATGTTTACTAAGTTCTGTGGTTAATTTTAAAATGTTAAATCCCTTTTTTTTGTTTGATTTTGAAAATTCTACATTAAAAAAAGATAGCAATGTGCAAATGGAGTTTTTCCAGGAAAAAAAATCCATAGTTTTAACGTTTAGAAAAAGAAATACCCCAGGAACATTATTCATGCTAGTTCACACCCTCATCATCTCTTAGATGAAATATTACATCCACCTCCTACTATGTTTTTTTCTCCTTTCTTACTGCTATGGACTGATTTGCATTGCACCCAAATTCACAGTAAAGCCCTACCCCAAAATCTGATGGTATTTGGAGATGGAGCCTTTGGTAGAAAACTCAGTAATTATATTTAGATGACGTCTTGAGAGTGGAGCCCTCATGATGGGATTAGTGCCCTTTTAAGAATAGACACCAGGGAACTTGCTCTCTTTGCCTTGTGAGGACACAGAAGGGAAGCCAGGAATAGAGTTCTCACCAGAGCCTGATCATGCTGACAGCCTGATCTCAGACTTCAAGTTTCCAAAAACAAATTTCTGTTTTTTAAGTTTCCTAATCTATGATCATTTCTTAGGACAGCAGAGTTGACTAACACAACTACCTATCTCCAAACCATTCTCCAAACCCCCGCTGGAATGATTTGTTTTCTTTTCTCTTTTTTTTAAGATTTTTATTTATTTGACAGAGAGAAACAGAGACAGCACAAGTAGAGCAGCAGGCAGAGGGAGAGGGAGAAGCAAGCTCTCCACTGAGCTGGGAGCCCAATGCAGGGGTCAGTCCCAGGACCCTGGGATCATGGCCTGAGCTGAAGGCAGTCGCTTAACCGACTGTGCCACCCAGGTGCCTGGATTGATTTTTCTTTTTTCTTTCTTTTTTTTCTTTTTTTAGATTTTATTTATTTATTTGACAGAGAGAGAGAGAGATCACAAGTAGGCAGAGAGGCAGGCAGAGAGAGGAGGAAGCAGGCTCACCGCTGAGCAGAGAGCCCGATGCGGGGCTCAATCCCAGGACCCTGAGATCATGACCTGAGCCAAAGGCAGAGGCTTAACCCACTGAGCCACCCAGGCACCCCTGGAATGATTTTTCTAATACACAGATTTGATTGCATCATTCCTATAAAATTCTCACATGGTTCTTCAATAACCCAGTCATTCAGTACATATTTATGAATTCCTTATGTAAGCCAGGTACCATTCTGTATGCTGGAATAACATAAGGATAAATGTTCTATGAGATGACCTTTTTTGGAATATATCCTCTGGGGAATACAGTCATTAAGTAAGTAATTAAAGTAATTGCATGATTACAAGTGTGCAGAGTAGTCTCCTACCTTTAGGATTAAATTCTGATAATTTAGTAATTATATCCTTACTGAACTGGCTCCTAGTACCTCACCTCTTCAGTCTTTTTTCATAGTCTCTTACATTTCTGATGCTCCATGGTTTACATATCTTCAAACAAGCAACTTTTTCTGCCTTTCCTTCTCTGGTATACTTTCTCTAAACCTCTACTCAGATTTCACTTCCCAAAAGCCTTTTCTCGCTCAGTACCTGCTCTGTAATAGACATATACTAAATATGTTAATTAGTTGATTATTGGCCACCTCTGTGACAGCACTTAGTGGTACTATATTTGTTCCAGGTGTCTTTTGCCATATAGAAACCTCTCCAAACTTGCCTTAAGGCAACAATAATCGTTCTTTGATTACACATCAGAAATTTAGTCAGAGCTTTGCAGGCACAGATTGCTTCTCTTCCACGTGATCTCAGCAGAGGTGCCTCAAAGGCTGGAATGACTCTACACCTAAGGGTTGGCAATTGTTTGAAAACTTTTGCACTTAAATGTCTAGCAATTGATGCTGGCAGTTTGCTAGGTCACTGGAGCTGTCAGCTAGAACAACTATAAGGGACCTCCTATGTGTCTGCTTGGTTTCTCCCAACATATTGGACTGAGCATTCCAAGAGACAGGAAAAGGAAGCTGCTGGTTTTCCTAAAACAGGAAAAGGAAACTGTTAGTTTCCTAGGAGATAGGAAATGGGCACAGCATCATTTAGTCATATTCTATTGGACAAGCAGTCACAGTGCGTACACTGAAGGGGAAAGGAAAATCCAATTCTTGATGAAAGGAATATTAAAGAATTTGGAAACTATATTTGAAAGCAACCACAATACTGTAATTTTTTTTACTTGTTTGTATAGCATTAGTCTGTGACTCACTTATCTCTAG